CTATAATTATAGCTCAAAAATATGTTTGGTATAAGTTTGCTGTTCGTTGTCTTGTTCTTTTAAGTCTATTGAAGTGTTTTAAATATTTGTGGATTCCATTTCATTTGCACCTCAAGTGAGTGAGTCAACGAAATACACGATTGTTGCCGCTCCTAAGAGATATGTTTGAGCTTTCATACAAGTATCGGGTAAAGAGCACCGCGTTATTATTTAATAATTCCCCACCATTGCGTACTTGATGACTAAAATAATGTTGGCTTGATTGATGACTAAAGAATGTTGGCTTTATTGAATCATTAAAAGTAGGAATCGTGCCGCCAATCACTGTCGTCGGAATGCGTGAGAGAAACGCCGTTCTGCAACTTGTGATTAGGAGAAACGCAAACCTACCCTTCTACATAAAATTCATTTCTTAGACATACACCACTAAAAGCTGTTTCTTTCAGGCGATGTATAACGAACTAAAAATTGAATTTTTTAGCACTAGTACTAAAAGTGAAGTTGCTTAAATGTTCAGATAAAACTATTGATTCAACAAAGAAAACAAAATACTTTCATCTGACCGTATTACTGTATCACAGTACCCGATTTATTAATCTGTATAATTTGTATAATTGAATTAAAATAAAACGAATGTCAGTGAGTCTGTTTAAAATAGTGTAGAACATGGGATACGATATTACTGTTCAACACTATTCTTAAAAAGACTTACGCCATTCTGCATACCGCCTTCATGTTGAAACGTTTCTTACTCGCAAATTAAACTGTTACTTTTACCTCTCATATCATAAATAATTATTTACGATATCATATATAATTATTACGATCTAAAATGAGAAAATCATTAATGCATGCAAATGGTATTTAATTTTGTACATTCGCAGACAAACTGCGTCAAAGGAAGTCGCTAAAATGTTATTAGAAAAGGCATACATTCGCATGAGAAGTATAAGTTAAGCCTTTGATCAATGTAAAGTGAATAAATGTGCCGTTTTTATAAGAAGGTGGTATAGTCGGCCTTCTGACGATGTCGACCATATGCCTTGATCTATAATACCAACTCAAACATTCTTGTTCTGGTATTTTTACAACATTCCTGAATTGTAACATAATTCGAACGTGATGATGAACTCGTGATAACAAACACGTTCGTGAAACAATGAATCTTTGTCATACTATTTGACCCAAAGTAAATCAGAATCAACTATTTCTACATGATGAATACCCTCTATTTTTGAAATCGAATTAATAACTGTTTCAATCCCCAAAACAACTATTGTGCCACCCAAGCACGCCAAAGAACTGACGTAGCACATTATAATATTATAGTGTGTATGCCAATATCACTCCTAGAATTGATTTTAAATCGAAAAGTAGCCCTAATAATAGTGGAATGATACATGCAGGTGTTGCATAGTATCAATTTACCAGGTCAATGCAATTACAAAAAAACAGAATAGCGTGTAGATAGTGACGTACATGTGTCCAAGAGCTCTTCGGCAGCAACCTCTGATTGGCAGTAGGTACCAGAAGCTTCACTTGGGTGTCCTAGAGACGCCATTTATGAGATGACGGGTTTCCTTCTCGTGGCGGGCCGCTTCCAAGTGTTTGGAAGTGGCGCGCCGAGGTCGGGACGGAAAAGACGAGAGCATGCCAGTTCTGTGCGGCCACTCGCCCACATACGGAGGCACCGCGTCAGCGATGCTCACCAGAGCCACCAGAACGAACAGAAACTTAACGAAGTGCATGGTGGCCTCGTCGGACTTCACTAACACTTCAGCAACCCTCTCCCAGCTCGCTTGAGTAGCTCTTGCGCATTACGAATTAGATATATATAGCTAAGTTATAAATCCTCTTCTGTCAGTTTCCTGAACTTTAACCTTTGGATGGAAAGGAGGCCTTAACTTCTTATCAGTATTGTTCAGTCTTCCGTAGAACTTGTTATCCATGAGGCGTTCAACGTGACCCCATTTCCTTGCAAAGAATATTCTTGGAACAAAATATATTATTGCGCAGCAGGCCATTTAATTTCAATGTTAATGACTCTCAGAAGACAAACGTCAATATTAAGAGATGCTAAATTGAGAAATAATTTGCGAAATTAAATTGATTTACTGTTTTACAAGAATATTCCAGAACAGTTGGAGGAATTAAGGGAAAAAGTGTAATAAAATTTTCATTACGTTATTACTTAAGATATAAAAGCACAAAGAAAAAGTTTTAAAATTTATTAATAACTAATTTTTTAATTGTTTACTCTCAATATATTAATTGGTACCTAGTATCGAAACGCATTAATAAGCAAATATTTGATTTTGACGAATTCATCTGCCATCTCATGAATCTTCATTTATAAAATCTAATATTACATATTATTACAAAAAATACTTTAATAGTTATTTGTAAAACTATAGACGTATTCTCGCAACTAGTTTCTGTATGATTTCTTTCATTTAGTTAACTAAATATACTCATTAATTCCATGAAAAATTGTTGTGTCTATTGTATAAAATTGTCTATATTTATTGCCTGCGTAATTAAAACTTCACCGTGCAATTAAAATTCGAGAACTACCAATCAGAATGCAGAAAAAGGATCAAAATCAGATAAGTCACTATAACACAGACGTGGCCAAGGTATTTATGGTCGGCCATGAAACATGAACAATAATGTTCATCAGAGTTTACGTGCCTACAGCAGTTACATATAAACAAAGAACTATTAACTCAACATTGCTGAAGTAAACATTTCTTTGACACTAGCTGGAATGGGACAACAGAAATATTTAATAATAAAAAATAAATGATTTGTAATATGCTAAAACATTTGGTCTTAACATATTATGAATGTAAAAAATATAAACATAAGTTGTATTTACCAGTTCTAAAAAAGTACATCAGCAAAACTGAGAAGTGACTTTTTTTTACTTTCCAATATTTATAGTATATGTTATATTCTCTCTCCTGTATTAACTTTTCGTGCGAAGTAATGCTTCCAGGGTTTTGTCAGCTTCTTCTAATATTTCATCCGGAATATCTTCAATATCATCCATTTGCAAATATTCCTTTTAGACACTATAGTAATCATAAGTATTCTGCGAGCATCGTAAGAGACATAACTATCAGGTTAAAGTCTTGAAAATTTCCACCAAACATAATTACTACACAAGGCTTTCTAGTTACGAAGCAGATGAATGTTGAACATGTAACACTTAATCGAGTATTAAAGGAAATGAGGAAATGATAAATTACTGAAAACACACTCATAAAATTATTATAATATACTTAAATGTAGTTACTTTATTCGACAGGAATGGTAGTACTAAGTTCCCACAAATTCACATTAATTTGAATGTACACTTGGTAAATGTGCTAGAACCGAGAAATGTTGAACTACCATCTCAACAAATTTGATAATAACATTCGTTATTTCATTCTAGGAGCATATCTTAATTTTATTTTGTAAAAGGTAATGTACGAAGTTGGAACAGTTTCTGAAAGCAAGTTGTCAGCAAAAAATGAAAGGTTTTAACTGGTCTCCTTGCTATCAACATCTGCGTCAGTAAGATTTTCTGAAACTCAGTCATTGTGACCTTCAGTTTTCTAATTGATGTGATTTTGTCTTTGATTTGTTTCTAAATATATTTTTCATCTGCTTTTAGTTAGTAATTTAAAAAGTTGATGTTATTACTGGTTATTTTAAAATCTATTTAGAAAATTGTTATTAGTTATTTGTTATAGAAAGTAGTTAGTGATAGTCGGATTAAACTGCTCCATTTGCAGTACCCTTTAAGTTATTAAGATTAATCCCATTTCTATAATATACTTTGGTATTTTAAATTTACAAATTACATTACCATTTTCAGTAACAATTACAACGAAAAGTTATTAGATCATTGTATTAATAGTTGTATTATAATTAGTAATTAGATTATTATATTGTAGTATTTGAATTAGCTTTTGTTGATTAATTTTAATTCATTATTTGAAGATTTTGAAATATCTACAGTTTTTTTGAAGTAATTTAATTAGTTGTTACTGTATTTAATTAGTCCCTCATTGTTAATTATAGTTTTACTAATATATAATTACTAGCTTACATGTATCTATAATATTTGGTGCAAATAAATAGTTACGGCAAAGACCATGAACTCACACTGTAGAAATTGACAACCTCACAAGATTACCACCATGCAAAGTTCGTAGCAAAAGGGAATAGTATTTTTTTACATTAGTTTATAGAAAGAAGCAGAAGAGGGCAAAGCGTATGTAACTAAGTTTTGATACTGCGAAGTATCTGCGCGTAGGTGACGTTATTTTAAGTGCATTGCATTGACTAAAATATTTTTGATTTCTGTTATATTGTTACTGTTTTATATTAACTGTTACAAACAAATTTAAAGTTTTTTTGTTGACACCGAATATGAGGAATCAGTAAGTTACTCATATAGAGAAAAGAATTTGAGGTTATTGGAATAAAGATATTAAAAGTTTTCCTGGAGTACTAAGAATTCTTAATTGACCTACAAGATAGTGCAAAGAAAGATGAAATACAAGAAATAGTGTTTTTTTCTTTTCTTTATAAGACGACAATTTCTAGTTTTCTGTGGTAATTTTCTTCTTAAACCAAAGAACAAGCAAATTCTGAATCAAAGACACCAAAATGCCGATGCGGGGGCCAAGATCACTAAGATAGTAGTGCCGTAGCGAATTCGGGCCGAAGAATCGCGGGTTCGAGTCTCGCATGGGGCATGGCTGAATTGTGATCGTCCTTTCACCCCCTTTCATCATCATATCGTGCCATCCTCACAGTTACCCTACCGTTTCAAGCAATAGTGGTCGCTAGTGACCTAGAAGTTGATCCGACCTTAAATAACAAAACGATACCAAAATGTAAAAATTGCAAATTCCGTGACAAAGGTGGAAGTCCATCATCAACCACTATATGTTCACGTCATTCCATCCTAGACTTATTTTTTCATATTGAGCGCTCACCTTCACCCTCGGGTGAGTGGCCGGCACACCCCATTGATGTACACCGATCCCTGCGGGCAGCGATCAGGAGAAGTGATAACCTCGTGCTCAGGTAGCCCCGGAACGGGCACCTCTTCATTTCTCCCCGAGAACTCGCGGTCCGAACGGCCTTCTTCACCTCGAGGAGAAGAATTTAGATCCAGCTCTTCTCCAGATCCTCGAACTTCTTCAGTCTTTATCTACGGCGGAAGTATAACAAAAGAAATGTTGACGTTCTCTTTTCAAGCACAGTTTTATAATGTTTAATTGCTTTGTCTTCATTGAAAGATATATCAGAGTAGGTTTTTGACTGTCGAATACTAGATCTGTCCTGTTAACTATCAGCTAGGCTAGTCATTAATCTAACAATGGTGTCCACACCTTTAAGAGCAGTTAATGAAAAAGAAATTATATAGTTATATACAAGTACATAAACACACAGATTGAGTAAAGTCAGGAAGATAAACAACACAACATTGCCTGCACAATAAGGTGAACAATACTTTCATGTGCCTTTTTAACGCTTTTATTTGGGTAAAAATTTAAGCAATGCTATTGCTTCATAACGTCCAAACGTTTGGGCTGATGGCAATTGAGTCAACTAACATACAAATTGTTACCATGAAACGGAGAAACTTTGAACAATCCGTCGACCAATCGGCTTAATTGTGTTAAGGATACGATGAGAAAAGTAATTTTTTGATCAACGATTATTATTCACATTATTGCGCACTAATAGAGGCAGAATGGCAACATATCAGTTCATATCCTTATGTTGTAAAATGGAAGAGTGAAATGAAAATATTGCAGGCTTGTATCATATTTGTTTGAATGCATTTCTCTGGCATTGGTTTAATGTGTGAATCTCATAATACGAAGAGAGAGAGAACAATGATACATTTAAGAATTAGTGTGTGATTGAGGTTGCTTTACGCCCCGGGTACTACATCATACAGGTAATTTTGGCAATGCGAAAAACACTAATGCTTGATTAGTGATTCCAGGCGCGTCAATTGATAAGATCATTAGTTCCGTAAGGATAGTGCTTTGCTTTTTATCGCGCGAGGAGGCTGAATGACGAGATTCGGCTCCGACCTACGTCAGCTTCCGAGGATTTTCCCCAACAAGGCATCTCTCCCACCAGCGCGGCATCGCCCCAGCCGGGAGAAGTTGTAATCTCTTGACGGGACTCCCGGTATGTGTGGTAGTGTATTTCTTGTAAGTGTAAGTATGTGTAGTAAGTAAGGGATGAGGAAAAGGCAAGGGAAGAGGAAGGAAAGGTCGCGCGAAATCCGTGACCCATTTTTAAAGGTACTGCTCCGGCCTTCGCTTGGTGTTTATTGGAGAAACCACGGAAAACTATCGAACAGTGCAGCCGGCCGCTAGAATTCTCCTCCAGACAGCTGTCGAATTCGACCGGGCTATATAGCTAGGGTCGAAAATCAAGCACAGAGTCACTGCAGTGACATCATTTGATACGTCGTACATCTCACATCGATTTCTTCTGTTATTTCACGCAGTGTTGTTCGTCTGTTAGCACTCACAACTCCACGACTGACAAATGTGACCAGAAAATCCAGTTAATTGATGCAAAAAGCGACGGTGACAGGCTTTTCAACACTCGCTAGTTAGCTAGGTCGAATTCAGCCTCTGCTGGAGGAGACTTCTATAGGGCGTCTGCTGTAATCGGTAGTTTCTTTTGGTATCTACGATCAACACCAGGAGAATGTCGGAGCAGTACCGAAAGAAACAGACCTCGGTACGAGCGCGATTTTTCCGACATCTTCCTTGTCCTTTCTTCACTCTTTACGCGCGCACGCGCGCACGCACACGCACACGCACACACACACGCACACACACTACACTACCACACACGCCAGGAGACCAGACAGGAGCTTAGTACTTGTCCTGGCTGGCGCGGTACTTCGCTGGTGGGAGATACCTGATCAGGAAAAATCTCCGCAAGGTGACGTAGTTGCGCCGGGCCTCGCTGCCAGCGGGTGAAGAACACTGCCGCTTCCCGAAAAAAACCTGCCCTACATTTACGGGACGAATGACCTTAGCAGCAGAACCACTAATCAGTCAATCAATTCACCGTAAAACAACCTCAATCACTTGAATCTACGTAAGTTGCAAAAATAAGCAATGTCCTACCTGAGCGAGCAGCGCCAAGGTGAGCAGGGCGGCCACCGCCTTGGCGAGCGCTGCCATCGCGCGAAGGCCACGTCACGCAGCGGGCGAATGGCGGCGGACGCAGCACGGCGGCGGAAGGCAGCACCTGGCGCTGCGGTGGGAGCCAGACGGCGTCAAAGCACGCCATTGGATGCCACTAGTCGCAAATTCCAAACGTCATACTATATCAGAGGGGAGGGGGATCAACAATGTCCTACCTGATTGATTAAGATAATAGCAGACCCTGCAATGCCTTGCTATTACGACAAAGTGGTTTTTTTAATTAATTGATTGATTTAATTAACTGATTTGTGTGTGATAATTTATTTCCTTCAGTGTCATTCCTAGTTTGCTTTTTACATATAATAAATAACAATTGAATATGAAAAATATGTTTCATGAAATAAACTTAGAAAATTGCATAAAATTGATTTAATTTCCCTTAGCTTGTGTTCTAGGAACGTGCGTGTGAGTGTGAGGAAGAGATAGATAGATAGATAGATAGATAGAGAGAGAGAGAGAGAGAGAGAGAGAGAGAGAGTGGGACAGAGAGAGAGAGAGAGGAAGGGAGAGAGAGAGAATGTGTGAGTGGGAGAAGGTGTCGCAAAATATCTACGTGTGAGAGAGTGTGTGTGACACAGAGACTGTGAGTGAGAGAGATTGATTCTTAATCCGGTTAATACTTAAAAAGCTGATATTAATATTGAAAATTGAAATAAAAAAATGTAAATCCATATGTTATAAATAGTATAACCTCACAGTAAATAATATATGATCAATCAGTACAAAACTACTCCATCTTTAATTTGTAAGTAACTTAAACTTCCGTAAACTCTTTTTACTCCGGATTGACAATTGCTTGCAAATACTATAGTTTGTTTTGCGCCTTTTAAAATGCGAGGAAGTTCTTCCTGGTGCATGCCAAAGTCTTCCGGTGCTAGACCGCCTGGGAATCCCGACTCTGCTGCGGTTGCGGACCACTTCCCCTGACACGCTCTTACCGGCCAAGGTGGCTCAGGGCATCAATCGATGTCACTGCAGTGCCTCTGACCGCAAGGTCCTAGGACTAAACTCCCCACGGCGACAGGATTGTCAGCTTGGTCAGCCAGGTCGAATTCAGTTGCTGTCTGGGTAATTCTAGCGGCCAGCTATTCGGATCGATAGTTCTTCGATCAACACCAGGCAAATGCCGGAGCAGTGACCTTTTAAACGGGCCACGAACCGCGCACGATCTTACCTTCCTTTTTCTTCTCCTGTCCTCACCCCTTACTTACACACACTTACACTTACATGCACTTTACTAGCACACCTGCTGGGACACCGGACGGGAGCTTACAGCTTCTCGCGACTTGGCGGTGCTCTGCTGGTGAGAGATACCCGGTTGAGGAAAACCCCACTAGCCGATGGAGGATCGCCGCTGGTTCTCGCCATCCAGCGAGGTTAAGATCACCGTCACCTCCCGAGCAAAAACATACACTACACTTGCAGGACTAATGACCTTAGCAGTTGACAGTCCCAGAATCACCAACAATTGATTAATCAATCAATCTCACTCAGCTCTCACTTCTCAGGTAAGCACAAAGCACTCTCGAAATATCGCGACGAATGGTTCTTACGAAAACGTGTTGGTCGGATGTTTTCTAGCAGAGGGTCAGGAATATGTTTGAATGGCAAATAAATGAATCGGGCTGAGGAGAAAGGGAACAAGCTATTTTTTGCAAAGTTTCAGGAAAAAGGAAACATTAAATAATACTTGTACATTTTATATTATCCTGTTCAATTTTTTTGTGTGAATTCACTGTGATAGCACTAAATTGTTTTTAATATACTTTCAAATAAATAACTTGATGTGTACCGAAATTATAAATGCAATATGTTTTACATAATAATATTTAACAATTTTACATGTGTTTAGAACAATCATTTATCCATCACAATAAATATTTGTGTAGCAACAATAGGCTAAATTTATTACAAATATATTACGAATTGTAAAGAGTTTGGAAAAAAGGACAATCACATGGCTCAATTCTGTTTAGATTCTTGCAATGGTTTAGAAAAATAGCAGCTTTTTTGTGGATATGAATTTCAGCCTCTACTGCACGTATAGCGCTGTCACCCAAAATTGTACTCTTAATTTTTTTTTCATTTGCTCTTAACATTTGGACCAAACATCCTCATGCTGATTCAATTGTTTTTTCTGTTGTTTGTTTTTCTGTGTTTTCCATCAAGCGATGTACAACTGAGAAATTTGCCCAACTCTTACGTTTCCTTCTCGAGTATGAATAGGCACGTCAAAGTTCGCGGCACTGCATGCATAATGAATTTAGCAAACACCTGCAAGTAATTTTGTCTAATAAGCGACGGTAATGTAAACCATTTTGCTAGTAAGCCTTGACTAGCAAACTTTTAAATGAGTGTTTTTTTGTATATTCCATTGCTTCTAGTAAAATATACTTTCGTCATCAACATCAAAGTTTATGGTTTTGTCTAATGCGATGTTTCTGGAAACGTACCATTCCTTACCCATAGCCCACTGTATTCTCAGGCATTTTCAAAGCCGAAGCCTCATGGGCGGCCAAGCCTTATTTTCTCGATCGTTTCACCCTCCAGCACTGTAAGTTCCAGCGGTGGACTGATTCACAGACCATATCGGCCCTGACGTCGTGTTGCATCTTATGGAAGAAATGGATGACGTAGGAATAGAATGTGTACCAAATGTATTTCATTCATTAATTAATGACAGATTTATTTTCGAAATTATGGATCATTAGAATATCATGAATTTTACATTTTATAGCAAGAGAAAATCAAAATCAAAATATGGCGTTGCTGCCTCACGTTTTTCAGGCCTCAGGAGAATGCAGAAATGCAATTTTGTATGTAAGTATGCGGAAATTAATGTTTCAAAAAAAGGATGTTGGTTACATACGTAAGTATTCAGGAATTCCTGTTTAGAGAAAAGGATGTTGATTACGAACTTTTTAATGATTCCGGTTTGCGTTTGCGGTTTCTTGGGTAATGCCAAGAATGCAGATTTATTTCGGAATAGAGAAAGGAAATTTTTCGACGTTAGTTCTTTAATTTGCTTAATTTTTAATTTGGGTTTTTAATGCATACAACAAACAAAAATGGGTGAAGCTACTACAGCAGTTCCTTCCTAATAGTAAATGAACGGTTATATTATTCAATAATCTTTAAAATTTCTTAATTTTAACTTTCTAACCTAAAAGGTTTCGACTGCAACGATCATAGGTTTAGAAAAACCCGCCCGAGTACTCGAAAAATATTCATAAAAATATCCGAATTTCAGATATTTCAGAATTTTAATTTTTTAAAAATTAAAATGTTACTTTTGCGATTGAATCCAGTTATTGTCATCTGCACTTGCAACAATGTTAAAGGAAAAGCAAATATTTTGACTAAGATTGGCGTTCTAGATTTCACGACTTTATTCACACAATTTAGGAACTGCGTAAGTCTAGAAATAGAATATTACATATTAATTATGGTAGGCACTACCTACTGTTCTAGGCACCTAAAATGGGGTTTAAAATACAAACATGAAAAAAATACACTACTATACGGGTGTATGTTCTCATACTCAATGAAGAGTGTTTTGTTTAGTTTATGGTTGGCAAATGTTGCCAATATATCCAGAAATACCAGATTTTTTAATTTATTTTTTCCATGAACATTTTTTCACAAAAAAGTAAAATTCTGCCAACATTTAAGTCATGTCAATGGATGGTTTGTTGTGATGGAAAGTCATTACTTCCAGAAACTTGCACTATTGTTTCAATATTTTACGTTTAGTTGTGTAATATTTGCTATATCACAATCTTACATCGATTTTTATTTTGGAACGTCACAGTGTTTGTTTAGGTAAAAATATAAGACCAGTACTTTTTTTTGAATTATTATTGTTACAATTTTAACTCTAAGTGAAAGTTTCGTCTTTCATAGCCCATCAGATGTTTACAAAATAATTCAAAACTGTTGCCATGCATAATTCTTCGTGGAAACTCTTGCGTTCTCTTACAGCCAGGCCTGCCCAAGAGTTGTTTATTTCGAGTAACGGGATAAATATTGAACTAATTTTTGAAAAACATGATAAGTCAATCCGTGTCCTCTGCAAGACTGATTCATTTTTCGTTGTTTCATAAAGTTGTTCATATATTCGATTTGTGTTGTCAGTTGTGCATACTTCACGAACGAAAAATTTGCAAATTAATGTTCAAGATTCTGGTCATGGTCAGACGGTATTCTTCGTGCACGTCATTAAGCTGACTGCGAAGTGCCGAGGGTCCATATTAAATAACAATGTTTCGGAAAGCAGAACACTCATCGAAAACGTTTCAAAAGAAAACTGCCCAGTGAATTTTTTGTCTCCTTCAAGTTGACAGAACAATATTAGTCTTTTTGTATAATGTAGTGTGCTCCTAAAATGCAACAATCTCAATAATAATGTGATACTGCCTTATGTAAATCAACAAATGTATCAGTACTACACACTGCCACTGGGCAAGCAAGAATATAAACAAACAAACAAACAAATAAATAAATAAATAAATAAATAAATAAATAAATAAATAAATAAATAAATAAATAAATAAATATATAAAAGTACTTGGATGTTAGTTGAATGTAGACGAACGGAGTTGACGCGTGCTACGCTCTCTATCAAGTTAGTATACATAAGCAACAACAACACGATTTGCGATTCACATCAACAACAAAACTAATTTCACTTGTTACAAATTCGGGCTCACGTAACACATTTCATTTCAATCAACCTCACTTTCAGCACTTGTAATCACTCTGAGCTCAATAACTGCGACATTTACAGCATTTAAATATTTTGCTCTATAATAATAGCTGATAAAACTGTACAAAGGTCCGAATTTTGAGTTTGCGATGGCTTCGGTTACGATATCGTGACAACGCGACGAGAAAGCACAACATATCGACGACCTGTCAAACACATTCTAATTTTGTTAGCAGTGTACACATTTAAACAAACCTACAGAAGATTATGAATCCACTCTTACTAACCTGTCCACTACTCTTCGCCAGTAATATATTATTTGTTCTGAAATAATGGTGTAATATGCAGTAGAGCACAACCTAAATTAATTATCCTTATAACATATAATTTAACCAATTTTTTGGAGGAAACCATCAAAACAATTAAATGGAAATCCCATCTTAATGGGGGAAGAGGATCAGTGGGAATGGGCGGTACACTGGTGGCTCAAGACTAGATGCACCACTGTTTGAGGCTTGGTATAAACCAACATCCTTATCAAATTATACATAAGCAATTTCTCTTTTTTGAGATATTTTATTAAGGAACAAATTCACTATAATTATGTTCAGAATATAAAGAACAGTTTTTATGTAAACAATTCATCTTTGTTATGCATACGATGTATTGAAAAGAAATAGAGTATTATTGGAATTAAGATGTTCTTGCTCTTGACAGGTACTGAGAAGTGATGTACGAGTTAATTATTGCATTTATCTGAAACAAAGCAAATTCATTTTTAGAATGTTAATTTTACAATTTTCAACTTAAATGTAAATTAAATGAGAGAATATGTTCTTATGGTTAGTAAGACACTACCTACAAAAATATTAGATTCTAAACAAAATAGCAACCTTAAACACCAAAACAACACAAAAAAGTTATAATAAAAAGAGTTTGTACTTTTGCTGTGTTCTTGAACATAGTATGACACCAACCTATGAGTAGATGTGAAGGACAAAAATGTTTCACTAAGAATAGAAAATCTACTGAGAAATATGAGTCACGAAAATAAATATTTCATTATTTACATGTCTTTATTAGCACGTACAAAATAATTTTGTTAACATTTAAAGAAACACCTTTTTCTTAACAGCATTTTTTCTCATTGTGTACATATAATTAGGACACGAACTACATAAAATACACAATTTACTTGAAGTACACTTGAAGAAATGAATCTGATCATTTTAACGTGATGCAAAGAGTATACGCTCTTCTGTGTTTTATTTTCTGCGTCCACACGTTGTCTATTCCATTCATGATATTAAAACTAATAGCGTTTAAATATGCATATTATGAGGGCTATGCTTCGGCATTCACCTGGTGTCGATCGGAGAATTCACGGAAAACTACCAATCACAGCAGCCGCCGCTATAATTTTCCTCCAATCAGCAGTTGAATTCGACATAGCTATGTAGGTAGTGTCGAAAATCATGCTCCCATCGGGGCCCAACCCCTAGGATCTCCCGGTTGTAGGAAGTGTAGTGATATCAACTGAGGCCCTGAGCCGCTTACATTGCTAGCTTCCTACAGCTTACATGCACGCTGGACAAAGCTAAATTACTTAAAATCGTAACATCATTGAACGTTAACTTACTGCACGCTCTCATGTTGCACATGTGTGCAGACACACTGTCGATGTATCGATTATCGCGGACTGGAAATAGGGAATATTTGCAGCAATTGACAGCAATTCCGATCCTCTGTACATATGCAGTTCGATTTGCCCAAGTGCAGATGCTCAAAAGGGAAATAGAGTGGTCGAGAGATTGCTACTGATAACTGCAAAAAGTCCCACCCAAAATTTGAAATCGTGAAAAGGATAAATTTGAAATAAAGAGCAGGAATACACCAAAGCGAAATGATAATCAGTACTTCAAACAGAGTTCTATTGACGTTCATCTAAGAATTTCTGATTGTTTTAACTGTCACAATAAGAAACATAAGGGGAAATTAAAAGTACTTAAAACCACGCAAGACAAAATTGCTTTTAGCCGATCTGGTGGCCGAGATCGCTAAGGCAGTTGTGCCGTAGCGAACTCGGACCAAAGGATCGCGGGTTCGAGTCCCGTCTCGGGCATGGTTGTATTGTGTTTCGTCCTTTCACCCCCTATCTCATCATTATCGTTCAACCCACAGTTACCATACCGTTACAAGCAATAGTGGTCGCTAATGACCTAGTAGTTGATGCGACCTTAAATAAAAATAAATAAATAAATAAATAAATAAATAAATTTCTTTTAGTTCTCACAAGGCAAAAATGTTTTGCTGAATCACACATTTCACCTCCTGAGTGTTTATTCGAGGGGCTTAGAAAGCGATGGTAGTCCACTACAGATGAGGTAAATTTAAAGCATTAAAGTAAATGAAGAAAAGACCGAATAGGGGCACCTTCGGGCTATAAGCACTTTCATTCTCGTGGTTTCGAATTTTCAAATCTACAGTTGCTCTATTATTCGCAGGTCTAAAGCTCAGTCCCAGTAGAACATTCAATCACACAACAGAGGAGGCACATACATTCCGTGGTGGTAGCATTACATACATGTACAATACCAGAGGAGGCACGTTTAAACTTGCATTTGTCAGCCATACAAGACGAAAACGAAAGAGTAAATGCTTTGCTGCGTTTCTTTAAAGTATTCAAGACTAAAAGGTGGATTTTATTGTAAAGTTACATTTCTTTGAAAAATCCATTAAGAAAACCTAGTGCATTCGAAATCTATACAAAATTCCTAACTTACGATGTTTACGTAAAAACTGTATTTCTACGGAGAAATCGTAGAACTTGTTATCACTACTCTTATTCCTTGATACCGTACGACGGATTGAATTCCTATCCCGAGAAATTGGATCACTTATTGTTTTATTTTACAATTACTCACGAGTTATATTTGTTAAAAACATTGAAATTATTTTAGGTTTGTTTCTGTGCATAGCTTACATATGCACACACACACACAGGTACATATAATGAAGTACTGACCGTTGCCCGAGTATTTATTTATCATAACCATCATCTAGCCGAAACGAAAATAAATTGAACACATTCCCCATCTACATTATCTTAGCCCCGTCGTCAGTCCATCTATTCTAGTGCTTTCCACCCTGACTCATGGTGCCCTAACTCCCGAGGTGGATCACATGCTCTGCGGGGCGTGAATATTTTGGCTTGGAAGACTTTTTTGGGGGGGAAGGTGTCTAACTGAAGTACCCTGCATTGGCCGGTTATTTAATACTCTCAGTCATCTATTAAACAGGAAAAGAAATGAACTATAAGAATGGTGTATCCCCGCCGAATCTTGGCTACCCCACCCGCACCCACCCTGGTCTGCCTGGTTTGCTAACAGCGCTAGCGGCTAAACCTTTAGCAGAATTTTCACTAAAATTGATATTCCCCAATCGGTCTGACTCATGTCGCGGACCCTTGAATTCCAAGGGATATTTTGATTTTGAAGGATACTTTACATGAAGCCTCAACATATTTGTAGCAAAGGATGGTGAAGAAAGTGGTGCTGGTTCTCTTTTTGGCGCACTCACCATACTTTCGAAACTTATAAACAAAAGCAAAAAATTAACAATGAAAAATACAATATTTATGAAAGAAATTTTTACTTTCTCACCTTACGAATTCTTTGAAATAAAGTTATGTAATCGTGCGGGGGTACGATTTTCGTCAGAAAATGTCTTATAGCCGTATGTTAGTTCAAATCTGTTCTAAAATATCAGTTCTTATAAAAAGAGGTCAATCAAGATTTTTTTAGCGCAATTGTACATTTTTAAAATTGCAAATTCGAATTTTCTTGAGTTCATTTGACACATTGGTATTTTGTTGGGTGGACAAACGAATGGAGCATTTAGTATTGAATGAGCAGACCAGGAGAGTAACGTGTAGTTCGTGATAAAGCGAGCAGATTTAAAGAACATTGAAATATTATAGTATTTAATAAATACCTATTATTACATATTTTTCAAATCAATTGCATTTGACTGTCTGTGATATCAGAATTACTGGATTGTGAAATATCTTAGCTAAAACGTATATGCTCTACAATGCTGCGCTGTCAACAACTGCAGTGGAGACTGCCTCCGCCGTTGCCGCTGGGTCATATTATTAACTTTTTTTATTTTCTCGCAAATTGCTAATCTAGTATATTTTAAGACTAAAATACGTATAGGCTATGTTCGTGAGAACACTGAATACCTGAATTTAATGGCAGAAATATATTTTTATCTCTATTTTGCAATTAAATAAGTAAATATCGAGCTGCGTTAATTTGTTTTAAGCGATATTTGAAGATAGTAAGAAAGGGACAAATTGTTACATGATAGTGTTACATAACGGTAACGTAATATTGCAAGCAAATATGTGCTTCTGTACCGCTTTTAGTGAAAAGTTGTCACTATTCACACAAGATTAGGCGAAAACATCCTTGCATTGTTTACAGACGGACGGACAGATGTTTTGCATTAACCAATTTTGCGGTATCAATTATCCACAAAACGTAGATTCTGATTACACAACACGTATTATAGAAGTAGGAAGTAATTTACTACATAAATAAGCAAGAGTTATCCACATTTGGTGTCACAGTGACTCACAATAGTAGCTTTACTGATGAAAAATTACTTTTCTCTGCAGTATTAAAATACTTCATCTTTACTACATAAATATCTATTAGTAGAATGTAATTAAAATTAAAAACTATATTGGGCGAAATGAAGATTAATTCAGATCATCTTTTACACAAAGGCTGAACTGAAAACTGAAAACTACTGAAAACAATGCATGTTCTATTGTAAAGACAAACTCATAATAAGAAGACTTTATAATTATTTCAAGTGATGGAGTATACAACACTACCTCTGGAAAAGCGTCAAAACATCGCTGCATCGTGTGCTTCAAAGGGTTTTCATTGGTTAACTTTCTGAGTGACGTGTTCACTATTTAGTTTATTGAAATTGTAGGCTTCCGCGGTCGGAGGCACGTAATGAACTAGGCTGTCCGGATGGCGCCGCGTCGAAGGCTGTAGTACCGACATTTGAACCATATTGCCGTGGCCTTCCTCAGGGCTGTTCTGAGGAATACCACAAGAGGGTAGAAATGTCGTCACCGCAACTTTCAAAGTGGCCGAACTCGGACAGCAATAATGATTTATATTTAGTTCATTGGTTGACTGTTTTAAAAATGAAATTGTGAACTTGTGAATACTTCTCTAGCGATACATTTATGTAATTTTTATCGTGAATTTATTCTGAGGTTTATTATAATGGGTCTCCGTTCACAATTAGAGTTTAGTGGATATTGACTTGAAAAACCAAAAGAGTACAAACCTACAAATACTTTGAAAATAAGTATTTAAAAATCTACGTGTCGACGTGCTATGCAACTCAATGTATTCAAAAATTAATATTGTTTTCAGACTATTGGCACACTAAAATTGGTAATTAAAATATTTTTTTGTAGTATCTTATCTTTCCCCATGACCAGCTTTCTGGAAACGCATCTGACTCTCAGAATAGATAAAATGTTTTAATTACTAATTTTAAAATGACAATCGTTTGAAATAAAATGAATCCCCCGCCAGTTGGCGTGAAAGTCGCTGCCGGATTACACCACCCCCTCCCGGATGAAACCATGCCTACACTAACCGTACTAGACCCGTGCCCGGCATGGCCGAGCGTCCGCCGCACCTTCAGTCGCCTTGGGAGTCGCTCTGGGAGCTGTCGGCGGCGGCTGCTCGCGCGTTGGCGCTGGCGCGCGCGCGGGCGTTGGCGGAGCCCTCGGCGTCCGTGGCCTCCTGCAGCACGCGCACCACCGTCTCGGGCGCCCAGTCGTTGTCCACGCCGTCCATCTGCGCGCGCAGCGGCGCCGCCAGCGCCAGCAGCAGCAGCAGCAGCGCCAGCGCCGTGCGCAGCAACGCGGACGGCGAGACGCGCATGGTGGCTGGCCGGGGGGCGAATGCGCTCTGCCTGCCGCTGGCCCCCGCGCCCGGCGCTCGGCCGCTGCCCCCGTGCCCCCGGCGCCTTATCGCTCCGCGCCCTCGCCCGGATGGCGCTCAATGGCCGCTCGGACGATACAACGCCGATCGCACCACTGCTGGTTCAGTTTGCGTCCTCCGCAGTATTGCTTTCTCGCATACCGCTTATGTACAATATAGAGACAGCTTTCTCGCATACTACTTGCATAGTATAGAGGCAGCAAAAAATTCGGCGATTTTTCGAAAGAAAATCTCTTAATATGGAGACATCGTGCCGAAAAACCGGATAAATCAGGATTCTATGTATAGTTTGATAGTAGTTTCTATAGGTTTTGCGACAGAAAGTATCTTATTGTGGAGACCTGATACAGAATAACTGGATAAATCTGGTTTTTTATATCTGGTCAATTACTTTCTTTATCACGTTGGATATTCAGAAACCATGCTTGGTGGGTCGTTGGTTCCAACAAAGTCTGTCCGTCTGTGAACAATGCTAGCGCTTAAACATGCCTTTTGACAAAATAAATATTTCCGAATCGATCTGAATGAAGTCGCGGCCATTTGCATTTGAATCAATATTTTCAAATTTTATTTTTGAGACAACTTTACATGAAGACCAAAAGGTCATTTTCAAATTTCCTTAAAAAAGGACTCAAATGTTTTCTTTAATTTTTTCTTACATCAAAATAAGAGAGTTTTTGCGAAATTATTGTGCATGAAATCAAGACAATTTTAAACACAGAATTTTATAAAAAATCAAGTTCCAATTGTTTCTTTAATAATTTCACCTTCTGTTCCAAAAACTTTTGTAATATGGTGCACGTCTATTTTTTGTTGAATTTTATGAATTTTTGAAAATTCTTTAAGTTACAATGAATGGGAGAAAGTGTGTGTAGTTATGTCCCCACACATTCTTTCTGTTGTTTTAGTTTCGGCTTGCTATTATTTACGCTTAATTCCGCTGAGGATGTTCAGCAAGTGGTTATCGACTGTTCTATTAGAACTAATTTTAGTCTGACTGAATTTTAGGCTGTAGGCACATTGGCTTTGCCGAGACTACGATGAACATTCAGTAGCTTTTGACAGGCAGAAAGTTGAAAGAAAACACATTTGTTTCCTTTTTTTATATCTTAATGAACCCTGGTATTAAAAACATATAGATCGACTTCTCTCAGACTGTACATGTAAGAATAATTTTTGTGAGAATTTTTCAATTACTTCTGATACTCCTGTCCAGATCGTGACTAAGTTCAATCTTCTTTTGAAAATGTTAATGGAAATGAATATAGACTGCGGTATTGACCATGACACTGACGCATTTTTATTTTGAAAGTTTGTATTTCCAACACTCCAGAAGCTTGCCGACCTGGATGGCCGAGCTGGCCACAATGAGTACCTACTTAGCGCCTCGATCGGAAGGATCGCCGATTCGAGTCCTGCAGTGGAGGCATGGTTGTTTGCTTCTTGTTTTTTATGAATGTGTGTTGTCGTGGAAGTGACTGTGAGTGCTGACCATAGTCAGGGGAGCCCGCAAACGTATCAGTGTCTAGTGAAAAGGTTAATACCTGTCCCCACAGGGGGGCATTGGGGGTACCCGGCGCGGATAGTCGAAATCATCTGAAGCTGGAAAAAGACCCCGAAAAAAACACTCCAGAAGTTTAAGCTTCTTCTTTTCACAAGCAGGTGTTGAAAGTTCGTTCGTAGCATTGTAAACTACTTGAGGAATAGGGAAACGTATTGTCGTATTTCTTATTTCGCAATTGCTTTCGCAGTCGTTCTCATTTCTCACCATTTTCTAAAGATCATTCATATTATTTTCTGATTATCTTCACTCAACGTCTTCCAAAAAAGTTCCTCAAAATGCAGTTTTAAATTGTGTACATAATTTTCGTTTTTGGAGTATATGTCATCACGTAAATATGCGAAATTCCGTTGCTTACCTTGCAAATAAGAAATAATTGTAGGATAAGTGCGCAACGAATTAATTATGCATTAATCCATTTAAAAGAGAAGGCAAACGAGCTTTTATGAACTTACAATCAGTAGTTAAGCAATAAATCATGTTTACCATCCTGTATCATGAACATATTCTAAGCGTTCGTAACATGAAAATTACACTATCAAAATAGTATTAAAGATAATTATTGTTAAAGGATCTAGAAAAAGTTATTGTTATAACAATGTGATAATTTGCTGACATGTAGACAAAGCAGCCTCAAAAGTAGTTTTGTTTTTTTCCACTGAACAAGGGTACCAATATCATGTTGTTTTTTTTGTTTGCAACCTCTGGCCTCGAGCGAAGAAAGAAGCAATCGATGACGTTCTGAATGCAATGATCTGGCACGACCCACAAATACGCCTTAGAATCAGTCGAAGAGCTCGTGTTATCTTACAACATAGACTGCGTTATTTCTTATAAACACTTTTTTCTTGACGCTGTCTACAATTCCTTTGAATTATAATTTTACAACATGGATTAAAAATATAATTTTACATTTACAAAAGTACAAAATAATGAGACTTCGAACTTAACTATGTACTAAGTGTGCTATAATCATTGATAACAATAAATAAACAAAATAAATATTCATTGTAACATACACCGATTCAAAAGACGTGTGAAATGAACAGGCCTGATTCGTGTATTAGGGGTATAGTATGACCTAAGTTACAAACTAATTTCAATATTAGCAGTTACAAGTGTTAGTGTTATATTACAAGACCTTACATTACAATATTACTTTATTACCTTACATTACAGTACAGGAAGTTATTGTTAATGAAACCTAGGAAATAATTAAAGGGTTGTATGTAATAGATATACTTTAACTTCAAAACAATATTGCAAATATCATGTATTTACAAAATCTCAAAATGTTTTTCAGAGTCATTTGCTTCCTTTACCACAGATGCCTTCTTTATTTACATTATTAATAGATTACTTAATTTTTTTATTCTTTCTTTCTTCCTTCCATTTGCTACGTGCAACTTCAATATAATTTTTTCAGTACAAATCAAGCACCTATTTCTACGGACTCGAACTGTCTCTTCCAGTTTTCTGTTCAAAGTAGGGCAAATACTTGAAGTACTATCATTTTCAATATGGGAAAAATGTAGTCTATCCACACTAAAATCCAGATTTCCGAAAGATAGATTCAAATCCTTATAAACCATAAACCCTTCAGCTTCTTAACATAAGTATTCACCTCCCCCTTTCTAATTTACAATTAGTTTAATCAACAATTAAGACAGAGTACAAACAACTCATACCTTATAGATTGCCACTCCACAAATGTTGACGAATTTTACAAATAATGTGTTACTGACTAATCTTATGTACTATTAAAACCCTTAAAATAGCTATTCGAAATTACCACACACTCTTGCTAGTAGCCATCTATCGCCGCCCAAAATACATTTGTTTTGTAATTGTCTTAATTTGTCGATTTTCTACTAGTAGAATGGAAATATTATTTCAAGAATATTAAAGAAGAGTAAATCCTCTTCATAAATGGCAAATTACATTGAAAAATTAGGAGCCGTTTTAAAGAAAATTGCGTTGAAGCGCTACTGTAAATTCCAAATTAGACGCTCTTTTTTCCAGAACAATTTTGAGTTTTCGAAACACCTTATTTAAAGTCATTTGAAGCACTTTAACTAATAAATGCAAAAGAGGGTACAAATTCCTGGAAATGTGCATATTAACGGCGTGAGAGATATTAAAAAATAACATTAGTAGAATTTTTAAAACAAAAAATACCCCGAAATGTTGTGAATCAATTTTATACAGAAAATTTTTCAGTTTTCCAAAAATTCCATTTAAAGTCATTTAAAGCACTTTGACTCACCAATTTACATTATTTACAAATTGCTAGAAATGTGCATATTACCGGCGTAAGAGATCTTTTAAAAAGTACACATGTGTAATTTTTGAAACGACAAAAAACTACCCGGAAAGGGACCGTATATTATATTAAAGAGTTCAATTAACAGTATCCGTTCGACAAGTTTAAAGAAAAATTGGAGCCCTTTTTAAGAAACTGGTGTTTGGGCGTGCTGAAACTGCGAAAGTTTGAGCTAGTTTTGACAGAAAACGGATGGGTTTTCGATAATATTTATATGAAATTATTATTTAAATTACTTTTACTCATAAATATAGTAATGCGAACAAATCGCAGTTAACGCAAATATAAACGACGTGAGAGACACGTTAAAAAATTAAACTTTTGCAATTTTTGAAAAAACAAAAGAATAGAGAAACATGGAGTTTATGTCATCTGGCATTTTGCACTATTCCTACGTAAGTATAAAGAAAATATTTGCAGCCGTTTTGAGAAAATCTTGTTTTTGTAATTTTTTAAAATTGCACATATTGCTCGTAGTATTGCGCGAAAACTACAAAAATTTTCAAAAATATATCCATGACCTTAATAAGAAAGCTGACAATGGAAAACATTTCATTTGGAGGGAAAATCTCTATCTTCAATTTTGTTGTTAAAGGAAGACGATGAAAACATTCAAACTTTTGAAATTATCAAAAATTTAGAGTTAACCGTGAAAATTGAACTTGTGTCACCTTCATAAGCATATTTTACTCTATTCTTACAAGAAATTTAAAGGAATAAATTGAATCTGTTTTTGAGAAAATCGTGAAAATATCCTGGGAGCTTTATGTTCAGTACCCCCAAAAAATAAATGAATATTTTTCAAAATCGCAGCGCTTTGACTCAGGCCAAATAGGCAGAGGTTTCTTGAATTTGGAAAAACAGATTAGCTCTGTAGAAGGTCACGACACGATGGTCGACACGTGAGCTTAATCGACTGTGACTCGGCTCATCCCGGGCAGCCAAGTATCCAATGACTCCGGACGCGGAAGCCTTACAAATACATCCCCATCACATGACCAATGGACTCATTCATATCGCATAAAGTAAGGAAGTTTATTTATATCGCTACTTTTTGTGTCATAATTAAAAACAGTTTTGCAATGATAATTCCAGATACATCTTTCACAGTATATGTGTACTCGAATGAAGTTGAGTTTTGTTAGATTCTTGTTTACGGAACAGAGAACGTATACATCGAGTGAAGATAACAGAGAAGATATTTAGTCGTGTGAATGACCTTCTGGCATGTCGACTTCCGGTTCCCGACGCTCCCTAAATGGATACATTGCGCGAAGTACGTAATTATTTGTCATCAGAACCTTTTCAATAGCGTATTCAATCCTATGCCCTCTCAAATCTTTTCCATTTCATCCTCTAATTGAGTGTAATCGATGTGGTCAAACACCGTCCGTCAGTTGGTTTGCAGCACGTGCATGTAATATGGTGCTTATGTGTAATGGGTATACATTGCGTGAAACATAATACGATTGGATTTGATAGCGTGTTAGGTTGATGATA